CCGTTCGGCGGCACGGTGAAGTACATCTTGGCCGTGCTCCAGGCGCCCCCGTCTCCCGCGAAGCTGCCGCACAGGGGGTCGTAGACGTTGTCCCTCGGACATGTACACCACGAAGTTGGAGGCCGTGCCGAGCCGGTACCGGCAGGCGAAGAGGAGCTCTCGGCCGGGCGTCAAGTTGTAGGTGCGCACAATGTTCCACGGGTTCGCCGCCAGGGTCAGGGTGTAGCCGTCCACGCTCACTCCCGCGGTGTGCGTGGCCAGCCACGCTGCAGCCGCTGCTGGGGCGAACCGTCCAGTTTGACAGTGAGACGTCCGTGGGGGCCAGGATCTGCTCTCCTATGGCGGCCACCACCTCGTCGGCCCCTCCGTCGTCCGGAAAGCGCACGGCTATTTGCAGCGCCGAGGCCGCCTCCGTGACTCCGAGCTTGTCAGCCAACAAACCGTCCACCTGTGCGATGGTGTAGTAGCTGAGCAGCGCGGCGGCGATGCTCGAGGCCGTTGCCGTGTCCTGGTCGGCGGCTGAGCGGTACGCCACCAGCGCCGAGGTGATTTGGTTGGTTGTGAACACGTCCTGGTCCGGGCCCGTCCGGTAGGCCAGCAGCGCGCCCGTGATGGCCGCCTGCGTCTGCGTGTCCTGCGCGCTCGCCGTGCGGTAGTCTCCCAACAGCGCGTCTACCTGCGCCGAGGTGTAGTAGGCCAGCAGTGCGCCTGTGATGGCGCTGGTCGTCTCCGCGTCCTGCGCCGTTCCGGTTCGGTAGTCGGCCAACAGAGTGTCCACTTGCGCCGAGGTGTAGTAGGCCAGCAGCGCAGCCGCGACATGGCTTGCATCACAAGTGGGTGCAGGTCAGCCAAGTAGCTGCGATGGAGTAGCAGTCTGCCGTGATTCTCAGAGTGTCGTCGCCGTTGGCCAGCGCAGCAGAGAGAGGAGCCTCCAGATGCAGGTTGCGAACGACGTTGCTTCCGCGAACGAGCTCCCAAGTTGTGAAGCCCGCCCAGGCCGGCGCGTTAACAACTCCGCTGCCGGAAAGCTGCAGGGCGGCGAGCTCCGCGAGGATTGCGTCGAGGGCGCTCTGGAGCGTGGTCTCGCTGGCTGAGAGCGCGGCGTTCGTGGCGTACGAGGCCAGCAGCGACGTGTCGGCCTTGCCCCCCTGGAGCGCCGTGATGCTGGCGTCCCGGCTAGCAAGCTGCGCTGCGACGAAGGCCTCGGCGGCGAGACCCAGCAGGGCATTTGCTATCTTGGTGTCTACCTCCAGCGGCGTGTCCAGTCCGTCCACCGTGGAGAGCAGGGCGGCCAGCGCGCTGGCGTCCGCCTTGCCGGCGAGGGCGGCGTCCAGGGCTGCCGTGGTGACTGCGTTTAGGAGGGCTGCCGCTATCTTAGAGTCCACCTCAGAGGAAGTGTCGACGGCCGAGAGCAGGGCGTAGCGCGCTGGCGTCCCGAGATGGAGGCGTCTCGGCTTGCGAGCTCGGAGGCCAGCGCCGCGGCGGTGACGGCCCCCAGGAGAGCGTTGGCCACCTTGGCCGAGGCGATGGAGCCGTTCATGGCCGCCGTGGTGCTGTAGTTGGACAGCTTCAGGTCCACGCCGTCCGGGGTGCTCTTCGTGGCCACCACGCCCTCCAGCACGTCGAAGGCCGACTGGTCTGCCTTGTTGGAGAGACCCGTGGTCAGCGAGCTCTGCAGCGCGGCGATGCTGCTTCCGTGCGCGGCCACCTGTCCGTCCGTGGTGGCCAGGGCCGCCGCCGTGGCCAGGGGCGCAATTGCCGGCGCCAGCGCGCTGCTGTCCAGCTTTGAGGCCAGCTCTGCGGTGACTCTGTCGTCCAGGGACTGGATGGCAGCCGCGTTGTTGCCGGAGGCTGCCGTGTTCACCGCCAGGTCCGTTACTTGAGCGTATGGCGTCAATGCGAGGGCCAGCTGCCCTGCGGTGACGTGCGTGCCGTCAGTCACCTCTCCGTTGTCCAGGACCTCCGGGATGTTGCCGGTGACAGGTCCTTCAAACATGTTTACATATGTTTTCGCCGAAATGATTTGACCGATGGCGCCGGTCAAATCGTGACACAGCCCATGGGTGACCTGAAAGCGAGCCCGCGCCAGGCCCGCACCAGGCCCGCGCCAGGCCCGCACCAGGGTTTTTTCCGAAGTAGCATGGCTGCAATGTGACTCAATTTGATTTGACCGGTGGCGCCGGTCAATAGTGAGACCTGCGCACGATGGAGCCAGTGTCCGACATAATCGGACACTGCTTCGTAGTTGGTGATAACATACGAGACATCATCAGCTGCGTGCCTCCATGTCGGCGGGCTGGCGCCGGGCAGGTGGCGCGGCCGGGAGGCTTCTATGCCGGGCAGGTGGTGCGGCGGTGCGTTCATCCTGCTGGCCTCCGGTGGTCTCTGCCGCGGCGGGCGGGCTGGCGCCTGTGGGTTTTAAACACAGCTGCCTCTACTCTCATCTTGAGACCATGGCCTCTCCGGCGCGCCCGCAAGCCTGTATGGTTTCGCAGCGAGACCTGCTCGAGATGTGGGAGGCCGACGTTGCTGTCTGGGACTGCTGGTTCGCAAACCAGAAAAGGCTGTACGACGCCCAGAGCCAGGAGCCCGATGAGATGCGCCGGCTGCACCTTGCAAACCAGCAGTGGGTGCAAGAAGAGGAAGAGCGACGACTGGAGGAGTCGCAGCACAAGCGCCGGCAGATGCCGGGCAAATGGCAGAACACGCGACGCGGACCAACGCAGCGTGGCTCAAAGACAGGATTGACGCCCTCCAGCGTCTGCTCAAAGTCCAAACCGACGGCATTCAGGGGGTGCCAAAATCCAGACCGACGCCGCCTTGAGCCGGTTTGCGAGCGCAACCGACGTTCTCCGTGAGTGGCTCCCAGACGAAACCGACGTCCGTCGTGATCAGCTCTTGACCGACACCATCAACCTCGAGGCGCGGTTCAAATTCAAAACCGACGCCCTGCATGAGTGGCTCGGAGTCGAAACCGACGCCCTCTAGGACCGCGTCGTAGGCGAAGAAGTCATCACCTTCCATGAGCAGCTCAAAATCGAAACCGACCGCCTGCGTGAGCAGATTAACATCGATGTCGGTCGCCTCCGTGAGATGACCCAATTCGACGTCGACGCCCACTGCGAGCGGCTTGTGAGCAGAATCGACGCCCTTCAGGGGCTCTGGGAACGCCGGTCTGAGGGGCTTCGGAGCAATCCTGTTGTGAGCCCAGGATTGAAGGGGCAACCCTGGGGTGACAACAGGATTGAAGGAGGCAATCCTGGGGTGACATTGAGGGGGCGGGCTGGCGTGGCTCCGATGCCGGGCAGGTGGTGCGGCCGCGCCTCATCACCCTCAAAGACCACCGGGTATTCTGTCATGCTATTGCAGGTCCAAACTTGCAGCACCGGGCCTGCATCACCACGATGAAGAGCGCAGTGTGTATTCTCAATCACCTGAAGGTGTGCAAGTCGATTGCCTGCGAGATTCGTAAGGATCCCACTCCAGTCAACCTCACCAGCAACACAAGTGAAGAAAGTCTGCTCTCCGCAAATGACCACCATCTGCTTGCAGGATTCTGTCAGACTCGGAGACATCAAAGGGGTTTTTCTGAAAATCACCCAACCGTTGTCCCTGGATACAATCTTGCACACATCCGCAGCGAAGCTCCCAAAATTCATTCCAGGTCTGATGGAGGGGGATCCAATTTGGCCATGTTCCCATCGACTTCAAAAGCACCTGCAACGTCAATATTGCATGCTGCTCCGCCATACTGTTACCCAAAACATGAAGGGCAAGCCGTGCATTGTTCGGAAACCAGCAAGGGGTCGTGATCCCAAGGGCCAAAGCAATCTCACCAGCGCTGAGCCATCTGAAGTCCTCTGCGTCTTGACTGATCTTCACGAGCTTGCCAAAGATGCCTTTCTGTCGGAGCGCCCTTTCAGACAAGCAATGTTGATTGCCATAGCTTGCCATGACTGTTCCACCCGGAACCCTGTCCTCTGGCATCAGGGTGCGGTACCTCATGATGTACCTTTCCATCAGCATCTCAGGTGAGTTCCTGACATCAGCAGGCAAGTACTCTCTGCAGAAATACATGGCCTTGGTTTCAGGATCCAGTGTATGTTGAGCGCCCAGCTCCCTGGGAAGCGTGCGCCAAACGCGATCACCTGCCATTCCCTGCTTCACCCGATGCGGAGTCTGAAAAGCAGCTTTGTCAAGTGGAGGTCCTCCTTTCTCTGAAGCACTGCCAAAAACATCGATCCACAGTACTGTAACCACCAAGTGACATTACCGCATCCCAGTGCATGTGATACCCCAACCACTCACACCATGCAGCAAGTTCCTTGTAGAACTGGGCATCTGTCTTGAGCGGGGGGACATTCTCCAAGCACACAATCCAAGGGCGGCTCAAACGCATCTTGCCAAAGAGGCATTTGAAGGGAAGAGCATCCGTGTGGCTCCAGCCTTTACCTCCATCAGAGCCTCCTTTGGAAAAGGCCGGGCACGGCGGTGAACACAACCATGCTGTCACCCCTTGCAAGCCTGCAGCGCAAAGAGGTTCAAACCTTGAGATGCACGCGCAACATCCAACTTTGCTCCCAATATCACTCATGGCGAACCCACTCTCCTCAATCTCTCTGCAAGCAAAATTCATGCAATGCACATTGAAAACTTCTCGGTCCTTGTCCAAAGCAAATACCACCCGTCCAGGATATGCTCGAGATGCCAGAAAAGTAGCAGCTCTCGTCCATCCCAAAAAGCCGCCGCAGAAGATCTCCGCAAAGAGCACTGGGCATCGTGCGCTTGAACCATATGGAATAAACTCCATGTCACCCCTGTTATGAACCTTTTCGTGAAGATGCCCTCTGGAAAGACGAAATGCGTTCAGATCCCAGCTGATAGCAGTGCAAGATACTTGTTGCTCCATTTGGGCTATACAGTACAAGAAGTAGATGATGGTGCTCTCTTTGTCCTTTTTGGGCCAAGAAATGTCATGGAGGGCTCTCTGAGTGAGCATCATGTGGGTGACAGTGACACCGTTAGGGTTCACTATCGTGTACGAGGAGGTGGGCCTGATCTCATTAAGCCAGCCGTGGAACTGAAGTGCCTGGGAAAGGCCGTTGGCATTCAGACGTGCGCAAGAACTGGTGGCCCTTGCAGTTGGCTTTTGCGGTGTTGACCAATGTGTGAGCACTCCTGTGTCGCTGCTGGGCTGCCTCGCTGGCTTGCAATGCCGCGATGTTGTCCCTGCGGCTACAGGTGATGCCTGTGAGCTAGCTAATGCATGCATGCCTTTTGCTTGTCGCCTCGGTGGCATTTTTGCCCTAATTCATGCACGTTCCTTGACTAGTGTGTGCGGCCTTCAGTGTAGTCCCTTTGCATATGCTCCTCTGCATGGCCATGTACGGGGGTTAACGATGCGCAAATGTGCCCCCGGCAGAGTGTAGTGCGCTCCGCGAGTGAACCATATGGTCTGTGCCCCGCTCAGCCTCATGGTTCTCTTTCGCGCGTAGCCAGTGCATGTGGTGCCTTCCTTTCCGCCCGTAATTAATTTCAACATGCACTTCCGCGTGCTGGCGAAATCCCTTTCTGTTCTCGGTTTGTTTGTTGGCTCCTTTTTTGCGGTTTTTTCTGTTTGGTTGTGTTCGTTTGTTTGGCTCCCCTGTGGCCTGTCCTATTTCGCCGGCTTTTTCACGTGACGTCTCACCATCTGTTTCACCTCTCCTTCCTTGTGTATTTTAGCAGGTTTCGCGACCGATGGCAATTGCCTCAAGGCGTGCGGGTGACAAAAAAAGCTCGCCAAGCATTACCGGTGCGGCTTGACCACTGGAGTCACGGGTAGCGCTCTTTGCCATTAACACGGCCAACGCGGCGGCGGGCCCGCTGGACTGCAAGAGCCTGCGCCTTCAGGCAGCGTGGCAAGCAGCAACAAGCTTGGACACCAACACTTCCAACTTCTCGGACGGTCTCTTTCTGACGAAGAACTGGCGGGCTGGAGCAAGCTGCAAGTGTCCAGCAACGGCCTCGACAGCGGCCCGGAGCTGCGACTGCTGGCAATCAGAGAAGTCTTTCTGAAGCGCGTGGCGCTGTTTCTGGCCTTGTAAGTGCGTTTCTGTTGCGGAGCTTTGTGGCTTGAAAAGTCTGATAAGAGCTTTCTAAGCGCAACAGTAACTTAGAGGGTTGGTTGGGTTCTCTTGGCCTTATTTGCTGCATGTGAGTCTTGGGTTGCGTCTCCGTCATCCTGCGCCGGCAACGAATTGCATTGCTGGGGGCTGGATTGGGACAGGAGAGGCCAGCGCATTCTAGCGCCGCACAGTCACGTTGGACGGTGGCAGCTGCAGCCGCCGCACGCAGCTTGGGGCAGTGGCTGCTTGCCGTGCAAAGTCGAACAGTTGTTCAACTTGCTTACCTGCGCAATCGCAGAGTAGAGTGGACTAGCAGGCATTGGGCCGATTTGCAGTTGATAGGTCCCCTGGAAGCTCTTGGCAGAGCGGTCAGGCCCGGCGCCGCCGCGCAAGGTGTAGCTTTCCGGAACCACCAACACGTCGCCCAGCAGCAGGTCCAGCCATGTGCATACACAAACTCCGTTCAAATTTGCCAAGGGATGGATTCAATGGTAGGGCGCGCGTTTTTGGGCCGAGTGTCAGAAAACGCTGCGCTCGTGCATATACAAATCCCGTTCAATCCTCCGGAGGGAGGATTCTATGGCAGGGCGCAGGTTTTTAAGGTGATTGTCAAAAAACGCTGCGCTCGTGCATAAACAAAAGTGAGTTCTGGCAAACAAAACTGGCCGTGCTATGGTGCTTGCGTTGCCAAGTTCCTTTTGCTCAGAGCGATGGTCCTACGAGCCATAGGTTGCGGGTTCAATTCTCGCAAGGAACACGTGCCCATTCTAAGCAAGTTTGAGCGCGGAAGATTGCAGATCGCTGAAGAAGACTCCAGCCTTTCTAGGTTCCGGCCTTGTGTGTTGCGGCAGTGTTACATTCAACGTGTCTTCCAAAGGTGCACGCTGCATGCCGGCCTTACTTTCAGGTCCCGGACTCGCTGGCCGGCTTCCGGAACTTGCGTAACGCAAGAGGATGCCCCTGGTGCCATACACGGGCATCTTCCTTGGGCCCAGCAAGTCGGGCAATCGTGGCGCTCATCAGCCTCATCCTGGAGCAGTACAAGGGCGTGTTTGAGCGGATCTACGTTTTCAGCCCAAGCGTCAACATCGATGATGGCTGGATCCTCGTCAAGAAGTACATCGAGCAGGACCTGGGGGTGAACACGGAACGTGAGCAGGCTTACTGGGACGAGTGGGATGAGTCCGCCTTGCGGCGCATCATCCAGCAGCAGCGCAAGATCACGGAAGCGTCCAAGATGGGCCGAGGAAGATGCCTGTGCATGGTACCAGGGGCACCACGGGGTCCGAGGGCTGCTTGCTGCTAGACTCTGTCGTAGGAAACAGCTTGATCTTCCCCATTTGCCTTGCTTCCCAAATTCGAAGCCGGGAAGCCGGGCGGCGAGTCTGGGAGACTGCTGGTATTCGACAGGCCTCTCCCTGTTTTCAGGGATAAAGCTAAAGGCTGGCATGCAACTGAAGTACATGGGAAGCAAGGCGTGGCTGGCACCACACCTGGACCGGATGCTGGGGGACGTCACTGTGCTTCACTCTCCCTTCTTCGGTTCCGGAAAGCTGGAGTACTACCTCGCCGCCAGGCGTCCGGGCCTGGAGGTGCGCGGCGTCGACGCCTTTGAGCCCGTCGCAAACGTGCACCGCTGTTACTTGAGACGAGACCCGGTCTTCCCGCGCTCCTTGCTGCGCCTGGTGGGGCGCAAGTTGGACAGGCGCTTCTACTTCAGGCACCTCCTGCCGGGCTCTCAGAGAGGCCGTGCCGGGCGTCGGGCTGCCTGCTCATACGTCCTGCTGCGCAACAGCTTCTCGGGAAAGTTAAAGTGTGCACAGTGTATTTCTGCTGTGATCGCATTTTTTTGGGCTTCAGCTGGCTGCATTGTTTGGCGCACGTGATGTGACTCACTGTGGAGCCCCACGAATGGATGGTTGAGCTCATGCATCCGCAGCTTTGTGTCCATGCTGGATTGTGCTGTTCTACTTTTTGTTCCAGTCGTTGATGCTCGATTCTCGAACAGCTCATGCGTCATCTTTTCCTGTCTTGTCCGTCGTATGCCGTGCAGGCAAGCGGGATCAAGGACGGCTTGTGTCATGGCTCGCGCCTTGTGTGTGATCGCGGCTGCAGGATGACCCAGATGCCACGGCGTTCATCCAGGAGCTGGTCAACGCCAACCTGCGTGCCCTGTTGGACGACGATGGAAGCTTCCAGAAGTACCTTCAGGATCAAGAAGATCAAGCTGCCGATTGGAAGGGCTTGCAGCCTGCTTTTGGCGGTGTTCTTGACAACCAAGGCAACAAGCTGTTGACGAGGCTCTTCACGTACGTCACCGTGGACGGCAAAATTGGCACGGCCCAAGTTGTCTGCCCCAAGGCCGCAGAGGTGATAGCAGATAAGCACTATGACAAGCTTGCTGACCTCTGGACCAAGAACGATCCACGTTCCAGGTACTGGTTTGAAGACTTCCTTGGACCCCTTCTGACCTGCTCGTGGTTTCCGAAGAAGTTTGACGCCTACCACATCACTGACAAGAATTCGATAGGCAAAGCCAACTGGGAACGGACTTTGTGCGACTCTTTGGTGATTGACGCGGGTTTGCAGCTGCTGAGGTGCGACACTAAGGACATATTCGAGCGAAAATGGAGCCAGGCCGTGAAGAACGGCAGCCTTGAGAAATGCCTTCTGCAAAGCCCGGAACAGTACTTAGGCGTCGATTACTTGCTAGGCTTGAATCATGGCATCTCCGCGACAACTGGTCCCAAGCACAGCATCGCAAAGAGCTTTCTAGAAAAGCTGCGGGACATTTTCCAACACTACAAGGGACAGTACAGTTTCACTCTCTCTTTTTTCACTACGGGAGACCCCGCAAAGTTCGCCCCGGAGTCAGGACAGGAGTTCAGAGCCTTCATGGAGATGGCGCGGGGGCCAAACAAAGTGTTTAAGAATGTGCATGTACAGGTGGTGCAGGTTCCGAAGACGCGAAACAGCATGGAGAAAGTTTAAAAGATGCGGAGTGTGCTGTAGGGCATGTGGCGTCCAAAACAAGATCTCAGGCATGGGAGCGTGGGCTGGTATGGGATATGGGATCGTTTTTGTTGGTCGGTTGGTCAGGTTGCACTCAATGCCATGTCGCAGGAGTTCAAGAAGCTCCCAATGCCTTTCAAGTTGTGAACGGCTGCCTGCTTAGGGTTTGGGGTGAATCCAGTGAATCCAAAGCACGGTTGCCTCGATTGCGTTTGGCCAGTTTTTTTCATTGAGCAAGTCCCTGGCAAGGTTTGCTTGTTGCAATGCGAGGTGACAGTTTGGTTGTCGACTGTGCAGCATTTGCAGCATCGCTCCAAACGTGCAAATGTGGTTTTCCCAGCAGTACTTGCAGCCCAGATGCTTTGCGTTAGTTTACGGGACCGATTGTGACTCGTCATGGCTGGCACTTCAACATGGAGTCGTGATGGCTGCCGTGCGGAGGTGTGGCGAATTGAACGGTTGGCCATTACACACTGCTGGCCAGGACGGTGCATTATTGGCAGGCACGTGCAAAAACACGTCGGAAGAGTTGTGCTAGGTTTTGCACGACTAAGCAGATGCATCGCATTGCGTTGCTTGCCCCTGCTTGCTTGCTTTCCTGCTTGGGCCTCTCGCTCATAAGCACATTTGGCATGCAGTGAGCTGCTTCTCACATTGCGTTTGGAGGTGCGCTGGAAGCAAACTTCCCATCGGTAGACATCCCCAAGGAATGCGGAGCCCCGGCGCCAAAAATCACAGGCGGCTTGGTGGAAGACACAGACGGCTTTTTTGGTGTCTTTGTGTCTCAAAACTGGGGTCCCTACCACCCCAACAACCGGAACTTGTGAGAGGTGGCTTCGACGAGTGGATCAAAGCCAACCCGCACATGGAGAGCCAGGCTT